CCAACTGAATTGCAAAACTAAAAAAAGTCGAAGACCGTGCATTCCATGTCCACATATATATATGCTTCATTATGTGTTTGGATGACAAGATGCACAATTCATGAACTGACTAATAAGAAAACCTATTGTGCATTATTCTTAGGAAAGGAGAATGCTTAGAGAATGCAGCAGCCGAAAGAGGGAAGTGGGAAGAGTCAAGAGAGTAGTAGGGTTGCCGAACTGACTTACACTGAGAGAGGAAGAATGAATAGTATAAGGAGGAAAACGAGAAGATGAGTTGGTGGAGGAGGAGAAAGACCCACATGCTGGCTTACCTCTTTGTAAACCCCCAATCCTTTTTCTTCTCAGTTTTCGTGTTTGGTTTATTTACTGCCTCGGTTGTGTGAGTCAGACTTTTGGGGAAGTGGATGAGGGGGTTCACTGAACTGGTGGACTTGGTCTGGAAAATTCATGTTATGCATTTCTGTTTCTTCGCACTAAATCTGCTATTCCTTTGAATGGGTAAAGTACATCGGGTTTGATTCGGATTCGATACCGTTAACTGTGCTGCTATTTGATTCCTCTCTTTTGTTGTCAATCTGATTTCACAAGTTTAAGGGCAGGTATTTGTGCAATTGTGTTTGGTAGCCAAATGGTGTCTTTCATAGGCTATTTAGTTTCATTTTGGGATCTAAACCAAGTCAGACTTGAACATTGAACTTAGAGAGCGTCTGATGTATGATTTCCTGTTTACAGATTGAAATTCTCCATTGGTCTTAACATGTCTTTTTTTATGATCTAACTATAGTAGATTCTCTAGCCTTACAGCTTGGATCCATTAGCATATATAATATCGGTGATGTTTTTTTCATTAATTTTAATTTTAGTTGTTAAACTAGGTTCGGTTTGTTTGCATTAGCTTACCATTTCCTGAATAAACTTTGTTCTTTGTTCTAGGTCATTTCACTTTTGTCCTGCTGGAATGGAATGGAATTTGAAAATATATTAGCCAAACCTGCTTATTCACAAAATAAAAATGACTTGGATAGATACAGAGTCGTATATATATGAAGAAGCTTGCTCTAAAAATCATGCTTGGTCCATAATCACTCATCGATTTAGAAGGTTCTATAATTGATGGGTTGGAAGGAACTATGAGGTTGTTTTGTGGTAATTAACTATGACCAACGCCATAAAGAAGGATGGACATATTTTCAGAGCTATTACCTAAGTCTATTTGTGATTGACAGGATGTATCGAAGACTTGGTGCTTGTGAGGATACTGTTGAGATTTTATGGTGGTCGGATGAGAAAATTGAAGTGTGCTTTTAGGCTTCAACTTAGTTACGGGAAGCCTTCCGTCGTGATGATATATGCAAGTAAGGTTAGAGTCCAGTCTTCTTTGTTTTCATTGTTCTAGCTTTGGAATGATTTTGAATTGGTTGATAGGCCCTGTGGATCCCCAAGAACATCAGGTGGTTGGATGATGAGTTCCTAGATCTACAATGTTGAGACCGTTCTGATTTCGTGTGCCTGTAGATTCCTTTTATTACATTTTACCTATCTTTGCAACCTGTGAAACAAAGTGTGTGATGATGCCGTTGCTGATTTCTTATATGAAAATTGTGAATCTTCTTCCATTTGCAGGTTGTGAAATAAAATATGCAGTTCTAAATTCAAGGACTTTATGAAATGGACTCAGTTTGCTACAGTTTTCTTTTCGGTATGGTTGTGCTGGTGTTACTTTCCTGTAGGCATAATCTCTTTTTTAAATGGAAAACCAGAAAGCTAGCCTTCCCAACTGAATTGCAAAACTAAAAAAAGTCGAAGACCGTGCATTCCATGTCCACATATATATGCTTCATTATGTGTTTGGATGACAAGATGCACAATTCATGAACTGACTAATAAGAAAACCTATTGTGCATTATTTTAGGAAAGGAGAATGCTTAGAGAATGCAGCAGCTGAAAGAGGGAAGTGGGAAGATTCAAGAGAGTAGTAGGGTTGCCGAACTGACTTACACTGAGAGAGGAAGAATGAATAGTATAAGGAGGAAAACGAGAAAATGAGTTGTTGGAGGAGGAGAAAGACCCACATGCTGGCTTACCTCTTTGTAAACCCCCAATCCTTTTTCTTCTCAGTCTTCGTGTTTGGTTTATTTACTGCCTCGGTTGTGTGAGTAAGACTTTTGGGGAACTGGATTAGGGGGTTCATTGAACTGGTGGACTTGGTATGGAAAATTCATGCTATGCATTTATGTTTCTTCGCACTAAATCTGCTATTCCTTTGAATGGTAAAGTACATCGGGTTTGATTCGGATTCGATACCGTTAACTGTGCTGCTATTTGATTCCTCTCTTTTGTTGTCAATCTGATTTCACAAGTTTAAGGGCAGGTATTTGTGCAATAGTGTTTGGTAGCCAAATGGTGTCTTTCATAGGCTATTTAGTTTCATTTTGGGATCTAAACCAAGTCAGACTTGAACATTGAACTTAGAGAGCGTCTGATGGATGATTTCCTGTTTACATATTGAAATTCTCCATTGGTCTTAACATGTCTTTTTTTATGATCTAACTATAGTAGATTCTCTAGCCTTACAGCTTGGATCCATTAGCATATATAATATCGGCGATGTTTTTTTAATTAATTTTAATTTTAGTTTTTAAACTTGGTTTGGTTTGTTTGCATTAGCTTACCATTTCCTGAATAAACTTTGTTCTTTGTTCTGGGTCATTTCACTTTTGTCCTGCTGGAATGGAATGGAATTTGAAAATATACTAGCCAAACCTGCTTATTCACAAAATAAAAATGACTTGGATAGATACAGAGTCGTATATATATGAAGAAACTTGCTCTAAAAATCATGATTGGTCCATAATCACTCGTCGATTTAGAAGGTTCTATAATTGATGGGTTGGAAGGAACTATGAGGTTGTTTTGTGGTAATTAACTATGACCAATGCCATAAAGATGGATGGACATATTTTCAGAGCTATTACTTAAGTCTATTTGCGATGGACAGGATGTATCGAAGACTTGGTGCTTCTGAGGATACTGTTGAGATTTTATGGTGGTCGGATGAGAAAATTGAAGTGTGCTTTTAGGCTTCAACTTAGTTACGGGAAGCCTTCCGTCGTGATGATATATGCAAGTAAGGTTAGAGTCCAGTCTTCTTTGTTTTCATTGTTCTAGCTTTGGAATGATTTTGAAATGGTTGATAGGCCCTGTGGATCCCCAAGAACATCAGGTGGTTGGATGATGAGTTCCTAGATCTACAATGTTGAGACCTTTCGTGTGCCTGTAGATTCCTTTTATTACATTTTGCCTATCTTTGCAACATGTGAAACAAAGTGTGTGATGATGCCGTTGCTGATTTCTTATATGAAAATTGTGAATCTTCTTCCATTTGCAGGTTGTGAAATAAAATATGCAGTTCTGAATTCAAGGACTTTATGAAATGGGCTCAGTTTGCTACAATTTTCTTTTCGGTATGGTTCTGCTGGTGTTACTTTCCTGTAGGCATAATCTCTTTTTTAAAAGGAAGACCAGAAAGCTAGCCTTCCCAACTGAATTGCAAAACTAAAAAAAGTCGAAGACCGTGCATTCCATGTCCACATATATATGCTTCATTATGTGTTTGGATGACAAGATGCACAATTCATGAACTGACTAATAAGAAAACCTATTGTGCATTATTCTTAGGAAAGGAGAATCTTAGAGAATGCAACAGCCGAAAGAGGAAAGTGGGAAGAGTCAAGAGAGTAGTAGGGTTGCCGAACTGACTTACACTGAGAGAGGAAGAATGAATAGTATAAGGAGGAAAACGAGAAGATGAGTTGGTGGAGGAGGAGAAAGACCCACATGCTGGCTTACCTCTTTGTAAACCCCCAATCCTTTTTCTTCTCAGTCTTCGTGTTTGGAGGAGGAGAAAGACCCACATGCTGCCCTTCTTGCTGCTTGCTAGACAGTCAGGGCCCTCATTTCTATTGTCTGCCTTGAAGCATTCTCAATGTCTATAAGTTATTTTGCCAATCTTATGTTGGGTATTTATGAATTCTAAAAGGGTAATCATTTGTGAATTTACGAACTCTGTTTTACGTCGGAGATTAGACTGCCTAGAGCCTAAGAAAATATCCTTTTGGTATATATCAAAACTGTGCGTTTTCATCTTTCCACCTAACTTCGCTCTTTTAAATGAGATCCTGTTTTCATTTCGTGATATTTTTCACGGATGTAATTATTTTCATAAGTTAATTGCACTATCCAAATGTACAGTTGAATTGCTTTCATGCTGTGAATTGCTGAAATCACGGTTGTAGATTTTACTTGGCCTTAATTTCATTTATATACAGCTCCTTATCCAACTTGGTGGATGTACATGTTTATTTGCCTTCCAAGTGTGAGTGAAGAAAGGATCCATCACCAAGCTAATCGACCTGCCAATTCTCTAATTTCTTAGATTTTGACTTTGTTGAAGAGACGGGTAAGGATCAAGGTTCATTTTGAACGTATGTACTTTGAGATTTGAGTTAAACAAGCTGATCTTAGAAGGCAAAGTGCATCTGTTTTTTCCGTTGCTTTATGGAAAGTCCAAGTGACCATTATGGTCTTTGTACTACGTTGAATATTAATGTGAAATTTTTTTTTTCTTAAGGGATTTTCAATTTCCTCCAGCATTACTATCATCGTCTCTTTTGTAGCTTGCTAATATTATCGTTCTCAATCTCGCTTAGCCAATAGCCAATCCAATTTTGAACTTTGGTTCTTTCAAAAATTTGTTATACTTTCCAACGCATATAAGAGGAAACCCTGGGTAATACCAATCAACTTACTTCTTTTAAATTTAGAGGTAAATGCAAATGGTAATGAAAAAAAAAAATCAACGGAAAGGACAAATGAGAATTTGATTATATCTTGGAATAAAAACAAAATGGATTGAAGTAGAAAAGCTCGACTACGAAGAAAAAGAACCCCAGGATCAAGTGAATTTTAGATCAGTTCTCGCAAATGAAGAAAAAGTGATGGAAGAAAATTTTGGTGAATCAACTATGAAAAGTAGAAAGAAAAACCAAGATAAAAGTAATAGGGAAGCAGAGCTTGATTTCTTCCTAAAAAGGTATTTACATTTTCAATTACGATGGGAGGATTCTTTAAATCAACAAATAATTACTAATATTAAAATCTATTGTCTTCTGCTTAGATTGACAAATCCGCGAGAAATTCTTCTATCTTATGTTCAAAGAAGAGAAATCAATCTAGATATTCTCATGATTCAAAGGGGTTTAACTCTTACAGAATTGATGAAAAAGGGAATTTTGATTATCGAACCCGAGCGTCTGCCGGTAAAAAAGAATGGAAAATTGATTATGTATCACATGATAAATATTTTATTAGTTCATAAGAACAAACAAAAAATGAATCAAAGATACAAAGAAAAAAATTATGTTAATAAAGAGAAATTTCCCGAATCTATTGAACGGGATCAAAGTAGAATTGGAAATATAGAAAAAAAAGATTATGATTTACTTGTTCCTGAAAATATTTTATCCCCTAAACGTCGGCGGGAATTGAGAATTCTAATTTCTTTGAATTCAAAATCAAAAAAAAATAATGCTATTCATAAAAATATAGGAATTTTAAACAATAAGAACCTAAAACATGATTGTCACATTTTGAAACCTTTTGATAGAAAAAAAGGGGGGGGAACTAATTTAAAGTTTTTTCTTTGGCCTAATTATCGATTGGAAGATTTAGCTTGTATGAATCGTTATTGGTTTGATGCCAATAATGGCAGTCGATTCAGTATGGTAAGGATACGGATATATCCACGATTGAAAAGTCGATAAGGGGGTTCATATCTTCATATATATATATTTGAAAGCCTGTCTGATCTAGTATATAAAAAAATGTCCACATCTATTCTTTTCCATTCCATATTCCAGAGGAAGTGAAGCTTAGTCGAAGATTAATTAATATGTATATCAAATAAAAATGAACTGACATTATTTTATTTATTATTACTGATCAAAAAAAATATCTCACACAAAAAAGAAAAAACAAGAAAGAGGGGATTTCTTTGTATGATAAAAAATGCATTCATGTCAATTATTTCACAAGAAGAAAACCGGGGATCGGTTGAATTTCAAATAGCACATTTTACTAATAGGATACGAAGACTTACTTCCCATTTGGAATTCCATAGAAAAGACTATTTATCGCAGAGAGGTTTACGTAAAATCCTAGGAAAACGCCGACGACTGCTATCTTATTTGGCAAAGAAAGATAGAGTACGTTATAAAGAATTAATTAGCCAATTGGCTATTCGGGAGTCAAAAACTCGTTAATTGGGGGGATTTTTTGAATTATTTGATTTATTAGATTATATCTTGAATTTTAATGAGCTTCTTTTAGTTTTAAGGAATTCATGGACGAATGAAGCGAGGAAACCTCTATGAATGTACCGTCTCCAAAAAAAGACCTTATGATAGTTAATATGGGTCCCCAGCACCCATCAATGCATGGTGTTCTACGACTTATTGTTACTCTAGACGGTGAAGATGTTATTGACTGTGAACCGATATTAGGTTATTTACACAGAGGAATGGAAAAAATTGGGGAAAACCGAACAATTATACAATATTTGCCTTATGTAACACGTTGGGATTATTTAGCTACTATGTTCACAGAAGCAATAACAGTAAATGGACCAGAACAGTTGGGAAATATTCAAGTACCGAAAAGAGCCAGCTATATCAGAGTTATTTTGTTGGAGTTGAGTCGTATAGCTTCTCATCTGTTATGGCTTGGCCCTTTTATGGCGGATATTGGTGCACAGACTCCCTTTTTCTATATTTTTAGAGAAAGAGAGTTAGTATATGATTTATTCGAAGCTGCCACTGGTATGAGAATGATGCATAATTTTTTTCGTATCGGAGGAGTAGCAGCTGATCTACCTCATGGCTGGATAGATAAATGTTTGGATTTCTGCGATTATTTTTTAACAAGAGTTACTGAATATCAAAAACTCATTACGCGAAATCCTATTTTTTTAGAACGAGTTGAAGGGGTAGGGATTGTTGGCGCGGAGGAAGCAATAAATTGGGGTTTATCAGGACCAATGCTACGAGCTTCCGGAGTACAATGGGATCTTCGTAAAGTTGATCATTATGAGTCTTACGACGAATTTGATTGGGAAGTTCCGTGGCAAAAAGAAGGAGATTCATTAGCTCGTTATTTAGTCCGAATTGGTGAAATGACGGAATCCATAAAAATTATTCAACAGGCGTTGGAAAGAATTCCGGGAGGTCCCTATGAAAATTTAGAAACCCGACATTTTGATAGAGAAAGGGATCCTGAATGGGACGATGACCGTTAAACAATCATTCCAACAGTTTTGAATCCCGTCGCGGAGCGCGGGCTTTCCGTACTAGTTTAATTAGTTTACTAATACAATGTGTGTTACCTAATTCACGGGCAGAAGAGAACAAATTTCACCGATTTGAGTAAAGCACATATGTTACAAACAAATTACGAAACTGGAAAACCAAACAACTAACCCGACTGGCCTAAATACATATTGAGGTGATGAAGAGTATTTATAGAACTCTTCTCCTAATATTAAACAGAAAACAAAACACATTTTCCAAACCTACCAACAAATTGCCCCCAAACAGAATAGGCAAAATAATAATAATAATAATAATAATAACAACAAAAGAACAAAGTCAAAATCAAATTCAAGTCATATCCTATAACTTCTTTATCATCATGGTATATCCGTATATATATTTGGCGACATGCACAAGTTTCAGGCAAGATTTTCGTGTATGCTAGCCGTTTTCAAACAAGCATAACTTGTTTTCAAGTGTCGTTTATAAAACAACGCTTGATATTATTTGAATTTAATTAAATTAATTGTCGTCAACGAAATTGGCATTATGATGCGAGAGAGCTACGATGATCAGGCCGCAACCTAAAGCCCAACATGCGGTTCGTCGCATGACCATGTCATGCGTTGTTTTCCCGTTTCCTTTTCAGTGTTGGATTTATTTCTTTTCTTGCAACTTAAGTTTCTTGATTTTAGCTCTATATATTAAGTTGGACGATATTAATAAAGAGAAGATTGGAACCCAAATTATTAGTTTTACTCTTCCTAGCTCGTAGATCTAATTTCATTAATTGTAATGCAACAATTGGTATCTAAGTCTGGTTCGAAAGAACCAAACTCCAAACCAATCTAATGGCACGCACGACTGCATCTGATTGGCAACAGTAGGATAAGCCTCGATGGGTGCAAGAGATCGGCTAGACGAAGGGATTGCGAGAGGCAGTGGCAGAGCCACATATATAGGAGAGGGGTCCTAGGACCCCACTTGGGAAAAACAGGGCAACAAAACCCTTTAGATGTGTACGGTTTAGTATGATCCTTTGTATTTAGGACCCCATACTTTTGTTGATATTAGCTCATCTAAGGACAACAATCAACTCAAAGTTCATTAGATACACAGACTAAAATGTTTAAATAATTTTAAGGACCCTAGTCAATTCAAAGTCTGGCTACGCCACTGGCGAGAGGAACCACCTAATCCACCAAACGCGGAGGTTTCATTGTTTTCCCTAACCGGGGTATCGCCTCCGACCACCATCAGATAACAACAACTGTTGATGCCTTGATCGATACCAGGTCATCGCATAACTTTGCTAACAATGACTCACTTTCTTTAATAAGCTGACCGTCCAAACTAATAGACCGACCCACTTTGTTTACCGAACGTCAATTCTTAAGATAATATCGAATGATTCAAAAAAAGTTATAACCGAATAATTCAATTCTACTAAGGAATGCATTAGAATGGTTATTAGTTTTTTAGTTGTCACGGTGGCAACCTAACTATCTAAGTTGTCTGTTTTCCTCCCTTAAATTATTTTTTGAATCGATGATAAAGATTAGTCTGGGGTAATATTGGAAATGTAAAAGATACCCACATATGATTATTACATTTAGAATATGATTTTTCATATACCTCCCTCCCAAAACCTTAACATCTCTCTCCTTGGCTCTTCTTCCATCGCCACTCTTCCTCTCTCTCTTGCTCCATCTTTCATTTGGCGTCGCTCACAAATCCTCTGTTGAAGAGAGGATCTCGTTGTTCACTTTCATCGGCTTGGTGTCGGACGGCTGAAGTAGAACCTCATCAGATCTGGTTGGACTTTTGTTGTAAAAAGGGAAGGTGGAATTACCTATATTCCTCATGGGTAGGTATATGTCTTTTTTATTTTTTTAGTGGATGGGCTTTTTGTGTATGTTTATTTAAAATAAGATGAGAATAATGTATTATGGTTAATTAATAAATGAATCAATACTATGTATTTATAGGTTTAAGTAAATTTATAACAATAAATATTTTGTAGTTCAATACATGGATATGGAATGTATGAGCAGAGGAATAAATGGAATTTTCTACTCAAATTGGAATTTGCAACCGATACAACTTAACTTAGACTTATGAGATTTTGGGTAGAATCGCAAAACAAACAAAAAGTGATTCTATTTCTATTTGTCTTCTGATATTACTATTATGATATTCTATATTCGAATAGTATTACATACTAATCAAATAAATGGATTCAGAATTGGATATGTTTAATGAGATAAAGACCCGATAATAAGAAACAATAAATAGAAATTTGACTCTTATTTTTTTAGGAATCAGCTTTTTTGTGGATTTCATTGTTATTCTTCAGTACAAAAAAAATACGCATAAAAGAGATAGTTTATTTAATAGAGTTCGGATAATACGATTAAAGCGCATAATAGAAGGCTTATTAAACATGGGCATATATAACTCAACTCTATCTATATGTCTCTCTTTTTATTGCTATTGCAGCTCTATTCTCGTTAAGATATCCGATTCGATATCTATGTAAGAATTTTTTGTTCTGGGGTTTAGTTTACATATACTCATAATTGTTGTTATAATTCAAATTGAGAAAGATTTTTTTATTGAAACAAATCAATACTGATTAGTTATGTATCAATGTTGATTTTCTTATATCATATATGTAAGTGGGCACCGGGTCGCCCACTAGCTAGCACGGCACGACACGGTTAGAGCACGACACGAGCACGAACTAAATGGGCCAGCCCGGCACGAGCACGAATAATTTATGGGCCGTGCCAGGCCTAAACTTCATAGGCTCGGGCACGATATATAAGTGGGCCGTGTTGGGCCTAATATTTTTTAGATTTTATTGAATATAAGAATGGACATGGCACAAAAATAACATTTATTTGATAGAAAATAGATATATAAAGAATTATAGGTTCAAATATTACAAAATACAAGTAGAAAAATAATTATTTGTTGTTGTTAGAAGTGTCATAAAGATATATACGTAATTACTACCATAAGTAAAAATGGACGTTGAATTAAACAAAGCCAAATCACACCTGCTATACTTCCAATTTTCTTTTTCCACTTATTTGTTACTTTTCTCAAACATTCTTGGTTAATACTATCTTTCTTCATCCAATTTTCACCTTTTTTTCATTCTCTCTTTTATTTTCTTCCTTTTCATTGGACACGAATACGAGCACGGTACGAACGACACGATTCCAACCGTGCTTGGGCCCGGCCCGGGCCTAGCAAAGTTAACAAATGAGCTTTCTTGGCACAACACGAAAAGTGACGGGCCGTGCCAAGCACGACACGAAATAAATGGCCTGAAGCGTGCCCATGCCGTGCCGGCCCAAGCATGGTCTAGCGCCCATGTACAATCATATATCATAAGAAAATCAAATTTTGGATTCAAATCCAAGAATTGTTCGTGAATTCTTGGCCACTAGTTATTGGTTCGAATTTGTTTATTTTTTGGAACTGAAAATCCACATTTGGTTTTCTTCAATATCACTAGTCAATAAAAAGAGAACAAAATTTACATTTGGCTATGTATGTTTTGAGATACTAGACAAAAGTAATTGAAGAGATGGATTTAAAGCCTTTTTTTAGGAGGGGGCTTAAGATTAAGAAAATGAAAATGAGGGTTAAAATGCAAATTTGAGTATCACCCCAAATGATATACTTTCCTTTCTTTTGTATTAATTTGGCGACATGGCCGAGCGGTAAGGCGGTGGACTGCAAATCCTTTTTCCCCGGTTCAAATTCGGGTGTCCCCTGATCAACAAAAGACGCAAAATACCTTATTCCCTTTGCCCATATAATTTATTTAATTTGTGTACAACGGAGAAATGCGATGGGAAAGGCTCTTAATACTTCTATGTGTGTGAGTTACAATAATTAGCGTTTCTTGGATCTTCGGATTTCAATTTTTGACACGACCCGATCCTTTTTGAAAACCAAACCATAACTCAAACCACAAACCGGTTACTCCGGAGTAACCCAAAACAGGTTTACAAATCAAAACCAAAAATCAACAACAACAATGTTTAAGATTCTCAAGTGAAATGCCCTAAACATTTGGGCGACCTCAATCCAGAGCAACAAAACATAAAACACAATCCTTGAGTTCACCAGTATACTCATTAAGACATGAAACTAAAGACATGTATAATGGGAGGTCCCATCTCGTTATCCAGATCCAGTTGACATCTTCAGGTTTGTCGCGGCTGTTCTCCTCGGGTAACCTCCTCTTGATGGATGCGTCCTCTTTCCCTCTCTACACCTGGTGAGTGAGAAGGGGTCGGTCTCGTCGTTACTTCCAAAGGTCTTCGCCCTAAGAAACTCCCTACTAAACACATTATTAGAGTTTGCTTCCTAGCATGAAAGCCGTTCTCGCTTTATGCTCATAAATAATCATTATTATCAACTCATTTCAACATCAACTCATAAAAGTGCTCTCCTTCTATCCTTAACTCAAACACAAAACACTAGGACCACCGCGTTACGTCTCGTCGTCCGGTGTCCTACCCTAGTATGTCAACCGTGTTACGTCTCGCCGTCCGGTTGCATACCCAAACTCGACAATGGCACTGCGTTACGTCTCGCCGTCCAGTAGTGACCCAACCGCCCGGGGGCTCTTACCATCAACCAACTATTACAATCATACATCCATACATTCATTCATAGCACAACGCATGCCTCCACCCTTACAGGCGGTGGGATGCCTCACACAAATATCGCGCATTACAAAAAAATTAACTAATTAATAACTTGAACGAAAAGCATAAACTAAAAGACCTACGATAGAGATTTTACCCCCTTTACACAATTACACTCACCTCGAAAAGATGACTCCTCGATTCCTTCCTCGAAGAAAATCCTTCTTAGCCGGATTATCTTGGGGGAAACCTATTAAAAAGAATTCATTTTCTTAGACGATCTTTCTCGTTTAAAACCCCTTTTGAATCACTAGAAC